TTTGAGGGTTTCTAAAAATTCAGAATTTTGAGCTAGGGTTCACCGAAAACGGTTGGGTAATCGAGAAACTTTATATGACATTATTTAAACACAAGTACTCATAAATATAATAATGTGAACAAACTGTCGCTAATGTAAGTATTAACAACGTGTTAGACAAGTAAAATAAATTACATTTTTGTAATTTTTGAAAAAGTACAATAATAGAGCAAGCTTATGTTTATGTCATTTCAAAGAGCACATTTGGCACTATCTGTACCAAAAGTTTAAAGCACAATTTGAAATATTTTTGGGGACAATATTGAAATTGTACGAAGGACTTCATGTAAAGTATCCCTAAATTTTAAAGAATGTTTTTCAAAATCTCAAAGTTTCGACTCAAACCAGATGGACAGAGGTTTCTTCAATTTGGAAAAATCCTACACATGGTTTAGGCGCTAATAGTGTAGACAGACGGACAGATGGACGTTTTGCCATCAATTGATTTTTCGGTATCAAGGACCCACAAAACAGGGATTCTGACTACGTCACGTATTAGAGAAATTTTTTCTTAATTTAGGAACTGGATTTATCCACATTTTCATTATCAGGGCCCGGCAATGATTTTCTTCTCCCGAAAATCCGCCGTTTTTTCGTGCAGCATTACGGAACTTTCTCTATACTACGTATAATCCTCCGTATAAAAACGTCATAATGGACCTTCAAACGGATGCCCAACACCCGGCTTACCCCCTTCCCCACTTCTGGATCTTTTATTATTTTTGCAGTAGGTACCAACAAGCAATCATGCAGAGTCAAAACTCGAGGTTATTTTTCTTATGATGGCCGTTTTTTGATCTAATTTTTCTCGACCATTGGGATGAAATCGTAGGCTTCCACGACCAGAGTCGCGTGCGTGATCTTGGCTGCCTGGATGTCGCCGCGTCGAAGGCTGTGTGATCTTGGCTGTCCGGGTGACGCCGCGTCGGCTGTGTTGCCGACGTGTCGACCATCCGGACAGTGTCACCCGGACAGCCAAGACCACGCACTTGTCTATTGGGACTTGCGAGGGCGAAATGGCTGAGTGCGTAGCGCACTGACTTCGCAGTTGGGAGGCCCGGAGGTCCCGGACTGGCCATCCTGACCGGAGTTTTAGTGGTTTCCCTCGGTCGTACAGGTGAATGCTGGTATTGTTCAAAAAGTCCACGATCATCTTCATCATCATCACCATCATCATCATCATCATATCTCATTCTATTATAATTATTATTATCATCATCATACCGAATGAAGTTGCTCAGTGCTAAATTCGCAATCGAGAGGTCCGGGTTCTAGTTCTTTCACCAGTCATCATCACCCTGTTATAACAATAACAATACTTATTATAATAATAATAACAATAATAATAGTAATAATAAAATCATCCTATCCTCCAAATTGATATTGAAGACTAAGAACTTTGTTTTAACCAAAGGATAGAGCTGAAAGGCTGATCCCCATAATTCCACACATTGATCTCTCCAGGATATATAATACAACTGGGCCGCGGAGAGAGAAATGTGTGGCTTAGTCAGGAGTGACCCATACGCAAACAACAGCACCAATAATAATAGTAGTAGTAATAATAATAATAATAATAATAATAATAGTAATAATAATAATAATAATAATAATAATAAAGGAGCCGATCAGATGGCCGAGATCACTAAGGCAGTAGTGCCGTAGTGGTTTCGGACCAGAAGATCGCGGGTTCGAGTCCCGCTGCGGGCATGGGTGTATTTGTGTATGTATGAGTGTGTCGTCCTTCCACCCCTCATTATCATCATTTTATCATCCATACCCCCAGGGCTAACAACCCCGGTGGAATAAAAATCGGACTCAGCTAAAGGCTGGACCCCAATTAAAAAAGTTACATGTACCTGACACCGCGATAATGATACTGAGCCACGGTAAAAGTAGGATGCATGCATGCGTGGTCCTAGTCGGCCGATTCGCAAGAAAAAAAAAATAATCAGGGAAAGCGGCGGGAAACTATCCTGATTCTCTCCTCCCAAGAGAACTCATCATGATGCAACCTGCAGTTAAATACTGTAGAAGCCATCTAAATGGGTCACCTAACTTCTGTCTACGGAAGACCTGGACCACAGAAGAGGAATTGGGACTCCGCTCCGTCCCAAGGTGCGTGTCTGAAGCGAAGACCTGAAGCGTGACCGTCAACTGGGCAGTGGAGGGGGAGACATATCGTGGAACCCATTGCTCTCGGCCGACGAAGGCTGCGAGGCATTCAGATCCTCGTAACCAAAGTTCGTTCGCAAAAAAGCCGACCGCCTATTTCATACAAACGCCAGCTGGTGGGAACTGAAATCTTTGCGTAAGATTACAGTTCCCATTTACAGTAACGCTGCTGAAAAATACAATTGAATTATTTATGAAAATTATTCTTCGCTTCCCACAATTACATCGATATTTATGAAAGTAGGTAATCAGTCGTCCTGAAAAACAAGGAAAATGTTTACTATTAACTTATGCAACTATCTTTTGCTGATTATAACTGAGGAAAATGTTCTTGAAGTATATATATATATATATATATATATATATATATATATATATATATATATATATATATATATTACTCAAGAAACAAATTTGAGCACAAGGTTTAAGACAAAATAAAACATTGATGTTCGCTCTTCATCTAACCCATTCCCTGAGCAGGATTCGTTCCCGGGACCCTTCAGGCAGGAGGCAGCTACTCCTACTTGGCTTTAGGGACCTCGGCTATCCGGGCCGGCAAATTAAATTTTTGACACAATTATCTTATTGTTTAGTTTATTATAATGACAATTTCCCTTAGTTTTTATAATTGCACTAATTAATAAACATTTTTGATTCTTTAGAATTTTTATTGAAACTTTAAGAAATTAATAAGCTGCGAGTATTCAAACACATTTCAGTACAAATATCGAAATTTAGTATAAGAAAAGTTTAAGAGAAAAGTAACAAACTTTCGAACTGACGTCCGTAAAAAGCGACGTATTAATATCAAAAACAGAAGAAAAAAATTGTATTCAACTTTACAATCTCTTATGGCATCGAAAATCGGAAAGGAAGTAAAAGATTACGAAATTAGTTCAATGAAATGACATCTCATCAAACAATTGCCGCTCGTTGGAATTATTTTATTAACAAGACAAGTATACAAAAGAACATTACATATATTACAGGAATTAAGAAAAAATAAACTACACAAATTAAAAATACAAATTAATTAATATGAATTGAACGTAAAATTTGAACAATTGGTGAAAGAGAGCCCATGATAGAAACTGTTTTTTCATGTATAGTGGCTGTTATGGAAGGTTCCTCTGCATCCGGCGTGTCTCGGCCAGTTCTAATCTTATTACCCACTGAATCCTCAAAGGAATGTTCTGCGACAGTAGACGAACGCCATTCTCCGTAGCGTTAGGGAAGTTCTACGAAACGAGTGCCTCGTGTACTTTTCCGAGGTGGACTTTTTAAAAATATTTTGCAATGCCCCTGAGGACTCGTCCAAAGGTATTTACTTCAAAAAAGTTACAGGTGCTTTTCCCCTTCGAATAAAATTTTAATAAGCTTAATTTTTACACAATTTTAACAGATTTTTAGGAACCAGTGACAATTCTGCTTTAGCCCCTATTTCAATTATTTCCTTCGGTAATTATTTCATTTCCTAGCAGTCAGGGATCCTAATGAATTGTTGTGCCATTGTCTGCATTTCCATAAAATCAAGAAACAACTGGCAATCAAATATCACTAGTAATGTACTCAAGAGCTTTAGGCAAGCATGTATTTAAGATACCACGCGAATGAAGTTCCAGTTTGTTATAATTTATCCCTTCTAACTATTTTATAATACAGTGAGACGAACAATATATAGCATGCAACTCGTTTTTAATGTCACGTTACTACGTCTGTACAAATTCGAAACATGTACTTACGCACTTAAGCATAATATAAATGCGAGACATGCTTAATTAATAACTATTATTTACTTTGGATATAATTTTTCAAATTTTGATAAAACTGAGATCAGATTTCTTAGAACCTAGTGTATTTCTAAAACAAAATTTTTAAAAATGAAGCGCGGGTAATTAGAGATTTCAATTTTGATTATTCCGAACTATTCATAATATTTTAAAATTGTACTTAAACTTTTTAAAGAACTGATTTTTAGAACAGATATCATTTTACTCAAACTCTTTATTATCATTACGTATCTCTTTGTAGGTATTGTACTTTAGCAATGTTAATTTTTTGCTATTTTGGAAAAAAAATCTCTTATTTTTGTTAGGATTTATACTTTAATCAGTTTTATAATGTTCTATATTTTTATTTTTTTAAATTGCTAAATTTTACATGTTTTGATCAGTTTTCTTCCATTTATACATTGTATATTTACTACATATTTTTTACTTAAAATTGTATCTGTCATAATTTCCTTTCACATTCCTATGCAATTCTACTTATTTTAAACAATATTAAAAAAATTGTCGGTGATTTATTTAATTTTTAGACATTTTTATTATTATTTTACACCTAATTATGCACATAAATATTATGCGAAATGCTATGTCAACATTATATGGATATTAGAATGTTTTTTGAACAAATGTTCATTGATTGTCAGAACAAAAAATATACTTGTGTTAAATTACAAATGTGTAACAAAATTACTTGTGTTACAAAAATGGCATGTACAACGAGCAATGGCATTTTTGGTCTAATACAAAAGTTATGCTTATTATCGTTTATCATTACCTTATAGTGACTAAAACGTAACTGAGAAGGTAATGCCCAATGACGTCGAGTAAATATTTAACTCATTATTTCGATTATAACCATTCTCCTTTGCTGCTCATTGATTCTGTGTAGTGGAAAATGTGACGAGACGACAACGTAATGCTGTGGCAACATGACTGAAAAAATTATATGACAACATGATTGATACCGACGTCATAAAAAGCCTGTTTTAGACGCACCTCTTTTGCTACAAAGGCGCAGTAGCGTACTATGTCATGATCTCCACCTCCCCGTCCCCCTTCACCCCCTCCACCCGTTCCATCTCTTTCGCCACCCTCTTCTCCTCCTCCCTTTTCTCCTTCTACCTTTCCTCCTCCACTTCCTCCTCTCTCTTTGGGCAGACTTTGGGGATGCATTGTAACAGGAATTCACCTATCTTGATGGCCCAACGTACAGTACTCTCCGCTTTACAAAGACGCCATCTATATATAGAATATATACAACAGATTATATAATATATTACTAAGCAACTTTGTCCAAATAAACAGGATTTCTTATTTTGTAAGTAACCACATACACTATTTTTCGTTTTCTGTACAATGTTTACATATTTGCGTATATTATTGTAACAAATTGAAAATATAGAACTTAGTACGAGTGTATTAATTCGTAAGAGAAGAAACAATTGATTAATGTAATGGGTTGCTACGGAGGTAAATTTATTTTGAGGCAGGCTTGCTAGTGTTCGTAAGCTATGTACACAAAAGGAATAAATCACAATATTTAAAGTGAAATATGTGTTTAAATATCGAGTTAGTAGCGCCTTCAAGTGCTTAGATGATTGGCGAAATCTTGATGAAATTATTAGATGTAATTAAACCGTAGTTGAAGAATACAGAACAAGACATCCCCGACCGCGGAGTAATTAGAAATTTGCCAATTGATTAGCCATCCAGAACTTTCGAACAATATATTTTCTTTCGGGTGGAACTTAATTGTTTTATCGGAATCTCCTCAAGAGTGAGAACAGCGACGCGACGTTAGGCAAGTGAAAAGCATTGGCAGCACAATGAATACCCACGATCGCGTTGCCTACGGGAGCACACACTGTTGTGGGGCACAAGTCACTAGATACGTAACCATTATTATATTAATATATTCAAGTATTATATCAATATTTCTGTACAGTTTATTAGAGTTCCTTTAAATGTATTATTATCATCATCATTATCATCATTATTATTATCATTATCATTATTACCAACACGTACTACAATGGTGTGTTAGAGACAATTCATTTCACATCGTAATTTTCACATAGGCTATGTAATTAATAGTAAATATGGTTTTGTGGAGTTAGTTTTTCTTAACAAATAGCATTAATTGATCGCAAATATGGTTTTTATTGAATAAACAATGATTTATTTGTTAATACACTAGTGCACTTAGTGAACCGGGCGAGTATGCGTCAGAAGTGAACGCGAGTGGAGAAAGATTAATAAGATTCCCGGATGAATAATTTAACTTAAAATTGAAATCTGTAAAAGGTTTGTCTACATCAAATCTGGTATTACCACAGACACAGTATTCTCGCGTCATTTCGCGTTCTTTAGAATATTTACCCTCTAAATTATTTGCATCATACTCCAGATATTAAAAAAACCAATAATTTCTCACTTGGCCTATGAATCTATGAAAATTGATGAACAAATTAAAGAAATTATTTATTTTAAGTAAATGAAACCATATAACCATTCTCTAACCTTAAAAAATGCATTTAAAATGTATATAATATGGTAGATTATATACTAATAATTTATTGTTTTCCCTGCAATATTGAGATAATAAGGAATGAACGAGATATTTTGCAGTCTAGTATGTGCTATGGCTCTCATTCAATTTTAAATCATTTCTGGAGGCAATGGGACATACTATAGTGTTCCTACATATTTTTAAAGGTAATTATTTGGTACTAAACGTTCTGTTATTTCAAATACATCGTTTAGCGAAAGAACAAGCAAGTCTTTGTACATAGACACATTTAGAATATGAAGTGATATGAATAAAAGCAATGAGTATCTAAATTAAAAATTCGCGAGACAACATTTATTGCCTTTGCTACATTATGGTTGATTTAATTTCTCTGTATATTAGAAATTACGTTTCATCGGATTTAAAATGTGCGCCGAGGGTTAAAGTACGTGCAAAGGTGATAGAGTACATCGACATGAAATGCTAATGAAGAAAATAATTTATAATTCACACACTAACACGACTCGCTTGTTCGCCGTTAATAGCACATTTATCTTTCGAAAGGACAGATATCGCTTGCTAATTTTCACGATATATGAGTCCTTTATATCATTATTAATAAACAATGGTACCTCTAGTACACACGTAATTATGAATTCTAATAATATATGCTGCCTTTAAGAGATTATTGTTTTTCTTTGTAGAAACGTTACAGATGTGTAAGCATACACAAAAAGTTTGTTCGTTAAAAACCACATGTTTGTGAGTGACAAGTGTGTTTCCATAAACTTAATGAGGGAAAGTTTCAGCAGAAAATATCTAACATTTCTTGGAATGACTGTTTAGTTTTTAAGTATTCTTGAGGGAAAGCGACCTAAGAACACAGAAATACGCAACGCGCTAACGTAGAAAGTAATGGATTATGTAGCTGCGACAGAAGTACTTTTTATGCAACCGCCGTAAAGAGAAACTCTAAAACTGCTCGTCCGTCCAGAAAGACCGCCCCGCAGGAGCCACGCGTCCTTATAGCCCACTCTTTAATAGACGCGATAACCGTCGCAAGCGGGTTTCGTGACCGCGGCCGCTCCCAAACCGTCATTAACGCGGCCGCAGCGAACGGGGGCCATTCTGGAGGGCTCCCACGGGCGGGGAGGGCTGCTTCAACGCTCAAACTTTTTGCAGGCAACGTCGCGCGCGGTGTTTGTTTGCTCTGGGCGCCCCCCCCTCCCGCCCACCGGTCACTGCCTGCCGCCCACTGGCCACCAGCCCCCGCCCACCGCCGACTGGCCACAGCCCTCAGGCCACCGCAACCACCCACGCTCCCCGCCCTCTACCCCACGACCACCTTCTAACTCTACCACCCCCCGCCCACGCCCATCGCCCGACCCTTGCCCACCGCCTAGATTGAAGGAAGAGTTACTCTAAGAAGAAACCAGTTTGACAGATCGGGAAACAAATAAACGTCATATAGGTCGATGGTATTACAAAAGAAAGTGATAAAGACATTTACAAATGAGCTAACTGTAAACGGACGCATTGACGAATTGAGCGCATGCATAACATAGTTTATGCGTAATGTTGCTAGCAGTGGCCTAGCAGTAGCTGTCAACGCGTTCCCTTCTTACAGAAACCTGTCTGTACCCTTTGCGTCCGCTTCCCTGGACGAATCGAAGATTTGGCCGCCTCCCGCCGAGGAAGTTTCGCTTCGTTCCAAACCGCAGAGCCCATTCTCAGAGACGCGCTGCGATACCCAGCACGTGCCCGTCCTCCCTCCACAGCCCCCAGGCGCGCTCCAGAGAAATTGCTGCCGAAAAATCGATCGACGGCAAAACGACGACGGGTCTGTCCGTTCCTCTGTCCGTCAACGCCAGCTCCTAAACCTTTCAGAGGATTTCCTCCCAAACTGATATTCCTCGATCGATCTGAACGAAATAAAGGCGCTGCAGTTTTGAAATGGATATTTTGATTTTCCGAGGTGTATTACATAAGGTCTCAATATTTTCAAAATTTTCTGAAAAATGACTGCAATTTTGTTAGTAACATTTGCCCACTGATAGCTTAAGGCCTTTTAAAAAACAAAAGTTTAAGTTTCATTGAAATCTGAATTTTCAAGAATTTCAAACAATCGAAATCTTATTGGTGTCTTCTTACAACTATAACATTGAAAATCAAGACTATTTTCTGAATGAAATCGTTGTTCAAACAAAGATATTACTGTTTGGTAATTGGTGGTGTAAACGTAACTGTTTGGAGTGTTAAGTGAAAGGAATCGAATCTCTGCTCAAAGAAAATGTATTTACCGGTTCGAAATTATTACGCAGGTTCGTGTATCCGTGTATATCCGTAGTTCTAAGAGGTAATACTAAAAAGTATGTGCTGTTGTAGCACCAGTAGTCTTAATCTACATTGGTCCACAGGATGCAGAATAGTTTGAGTCTGACGTAAGGCTACGATACTCTAGAGGTTGCAAGGAAAATGCTCAGAATTGTTAAGAAGAACGCTGAAAACATGAAATACCGGTTGAGACGGCCCAGAGGCAGGGGGCAGCTTTTGCCACTGAAGCATTTCTGCCTGGGCGGCGCTAAGGCATGAGTCTACTGTGACGTACTTTTGACGCTGCCTACGTGACAACATAGGTCGCGTTCAGCCGCTGCCTGGAGAAAATTTCCATTTATTGCCGGCTCTCATTGGTAGTTTTCCGGAATATCTCCCATCAACAGGCAACTGAAGCACTACTTTAATTAATAGGTCACGAACCGCGATATTTCCTTCCTCTTTCTTGTCATACCCCCCCCCCTTACTTACGCACAGTTACGTTTACATGTTCTACACTACCATACATATTGAAAGATCAGTCGGGAGCTTAGCTTGTCCTGACTGTGCCCCGCAAGCCGGTGTGTAAGTGTGCGACAGATATAAGTAGGGGAAGAAAGCCGCTGAACGTAGCGGGGTATTGTGATTTGTCTCTACATCTCATCGGCATATCATGTTATAAAATCCCAGAAAAACAAGCGAAACGCCTTTTGGGGTCATGAAGACTAGTTTGAGGACTTCGCGGTTGCACGGATTGTACATATTATGCGATATGCGATATGCGATATGCAATATGCAATATGCGATATGCAATATGCGATATGCAATATGCAATATGCGATATGCAATATGCAATATGCGATATGCGATATGCAATATGCAATATGCAATATGCAATATGCAATATGCAATATGCAATATGCAATATGCAATATGCAACATGCAATATGTAATATGCAATATGTAATATGCAATATGCAATACGCATGATTTACTGAAGAAATTACATGTAATAACTTTTTATTGTTTGGAGGAGCTGATGGGACGTGATGAAAGTTATGAACTTGTTAGAAGGAAGTCTCGTTAATGAATTGTTATTTTGGTTGGATTTCTCATAAGAAGCGATCGACGGCGAGTCGATGACGTATCTATGACGTGGTACCGCCACCTCCCGGGGCACACAACATTTACTTTTTTCAATGGCCGTGAGAGAGGACAGTCTACAGAAATTCTTGTGAAAATTGAGTCACGTAGATATTTCTTATAGAGATCATCTTAACATATAGAATTAGCATTGGGTTGAAAGAGTTAGTTTCGACAATTCAATGTATTGTGTTGCTAGTTCCTTATG